CCAAATTTCAGACAATTCGGGCCACGAGAATTGGTTTTAATGGCTTTAAAAATTCTTCGAACTTAAGTTCGAATTTTCGAAAATGTTATTTTTAGTTTTTGTGACCCAGAGATTATTTTAAGAGCATAAACAATTTTTCGAACATAACTTCGAATTTTCGAATATAATTTCGAATATTCGAACATAATATTGTATTGTCATTAGCTGTACTCACAACCGCCAAATTTCAGCAAATTCGGGCTACCGGAATTGATCTTAAAACAATTTTCCCCAATTAATTCGTCGTTCGTCTGCATAAGAAATAGAAATAAACCTATCGCACAGTTCTTTACGTACGACGAATTTCGTCATACGCAATGATTGTGTACATTTTCATATACCCAAGTGAGTTCTATTTCTAACGACGAATATTCGTTCCGAAAAATTCGTCGTTCGTCCCAATTGTGCGTATACTATAAATTAACAATCTTTATTCATTTTTAAAGTTTTAAAGATATTTTTTAACTGTGGAATAGTTTGAATTTTGAAAGGCATTTAGAATTAGTTGTATTAGTTCTCCAATTTCTATCTATCGCAATTTTCTATGTATCTATGAAAAATTTGAATAATCTGCACTGAAAATAATCCATGCTTAAATTTACGAAAAAAAATTTCGTAACTATGTACTTGTTTCGTAATATATACGAAAATTTCGTGTATAATACGAAATATTGTTTAATCAACCCCTTTTCTAATTTTACGAAAGTACGAAAACCTGTCGTAATATCTTTTTTCGTATATATTAAGAAACTTTGTTTTCTTTTACAAAAATAATTTCGTTAAGGCATGTAATATTTAACGAAAGTAACGAATTTTTTTCGTAACAAAATTATTTAGTAACTAGCTATACCCAGTGTGCTTCGCTACCCTCATCGTAATGGAATAAAATAAATATTATTGTAAATGTATATATATCTGCAATATCAAAAAGTCCCCTATTTAAATTTATGTTTATATATTCAATATTTTAGAAAACTCAAAAAGTACCAATGAAGTACGAAAAAGTAACAAAAGACCTTTTTTATTTAATTTCATGTTCCTAAGTTCAATATTATAGAAAATTAAAAAAGTACCAGTTGAAGAACGAAAAATTACCAAAGGGTCCCCTTTTATAGATTCTCATTAACTCCGGGCTCCACATGGTTAATTTCATGTTATAAAAAACACAAAAAGTACCTTTTGAAGAACGAAAAATTACCAAAAAGTCCTCTTTTATATGTTCTCACTTACTCCGGGCTCTACGTACTTAATTTCATGTTTCTAGGTTCAATATAATAGAAAATTCAAAAAGTACCTTTTGAAGAACGAAAAAGTGCCGAAAAGTCCCCTTTTATAGGTTATCACTGAATCTTGGCTGTACTTGCTTAATTTCATGTTTCTAGGTTCAATATTATAGAAAATTCAAAAAGTACCTTTTGAAGAACGAAAAAGTACCAAAAAGTCCCCTCTTATAGATTCTCATTTACTCCAGGCTCTATATGCTTAATTTCATGCTTCTAGGATCAATATTATAGAAAATTCAAAAAGTACCTTTTGAAGAACGAAAAAGTACCAAAAAGTCCCCTTTTATAGATTCTCATTTACTCCAGGCTCTACATGCTTAATTTCATGCTTCTAGGATCAATATTATAGAAAATTCAAAAAGTACTTTTTGAAGAACGAAAAAGTACCAAAAAGTCCCCTTTTATAGGTCCTCACTTAATTCGGGCTCTACATGTTTAATTTCATGTTTCTAGGTTCAATATTATAGAAAATTCAAAAAGTACCTTTTGAAGAACAAAAAAGTACCAAAAAGTCCCCTTTTATAGTTTCTCACTTAATCCAGGCTCTACATGCATACTTTCATGTTTCTATTTTCAATATTATAGAAAATTCATAAAGTACCTTTTGAAGAACGAAAAAGTACCAAAAAGTCCCCTGTTATAGATTCTCATTTACTCCGGGCTCTACATGCTTAATTTCATGTTTCTAGGTTAAATTTTATAGAAAACTCAAAAAGTACCAGTCGAAAGACGAAAAAGTTCCAAAAAGTCCCCTTTTATAGATTCTCATTTACTCCGGGCTCTACATGCTTAATTTCATGTTTCTAGGTTAAATTTTATAGAAAACTCAAAAAGTACCAGTCGAAGGACGAAAAAGTACCAAAAAGTCCCCTTTTATAGATTCTCATTTACTCTGGGCTATACATGCTTAAATTCATGTTTCTAGGTTAAATTTTATAGAAAACTCAAAAAGTACCAGTCGAAAGACGAAAAAGTTTCAAAAAGTCCCCTTTTATAGATTCTCATTTACTCCGGGCTCTACATGCTTAATTTCATGTTTCTAGGTTAAATTTTATAGAAAACTCAAAAAGTACCAGTCGAAGGACGAAAAAGTACCAAAAAGTCCCCTTATATAGATTCTCATTTACTCCGGGCTCTACATGCTTAATTTCATGTTTCTAGGTTAAATTTTATAGAAAACTCAAAAAGTACCAGTCGAAGGACGAAAAAGTACCAAAAAGTCCCTTTTATAGATTCTCATTTACTCCGGTCTCTACATGTTTAATTTCATGTTTCTAGGTTCAATATTATAGAAAATTCAAAAAGTACCTTTTGAAGAACGAAAAAGTACCAAAAAGTCCCATTTTATAGATTCTCATTTACTCCGAGCTCTACATGCTTAATTTCATGTTTCTAGGTTTAATTTTAAAGAAAACTCAAAAAAGTACCTGTGTAGAACGAAAAAGTAGCGAAAAGTCCCTTTATTATTAATTTCATGTTTCTATTTCAATGTCATAGAAAACTCAAAAAGGACCAGTTGGAGAATGAAAAGTACCAAAAAATATCACTTGATACCGGGGTTCCAAATAACACCCCATTAGGATATTTAGTGTTTCTAAATTTAAAAATTTTATCTAAATTGGATCATTGTGGTTGAATAAAATCAAATTTCCCGTTTTTACCCCTTTTGGTACTCTTTTCTTCCCCATTAACGAAATAAAAATTCTATTCCAAAAAGTTGCAACATCGTAGTGGGAGCCCGTTATTATGTATTCATATGTATAAGTTAATAAACCAAAAACAATGTTTTATGAAAAAAGTACCAAAAATAGGTACAATTTTAACCCCTTAAACGTCCGAATATCCAAAAAGTACTAAATTCATATTTTTATTTTTTCGTTAAGTTATGAAGGAGTCAAAAATATTTTTTGAATGTGCACTGGTTTAAAAGATACATGGGGTGCGAAAAAAGTACCAAAATACAGTTTTTACCCGTTTATTCCCTAAAGGGGCCGAATTTTAAAAAAGTACCAGACACCTGTCCGTTTATTTTTTAAATGAACGGCGATAAGCTTTAAACTGTTTTTGTATCTTTTCTAGTTTAGGAGATATAAGGTTACCGAATTTACCCGTTTTTACCCTTTTTTACCCCCTAAACATTCGAATTTCCAAAAATCCCGTCTTAGTGGATCTATTTGGTGGGAGACCAACCTCCTGTCCAAATTTCAGCACTTTAGCTTCAACCGTTTAGGCTGTGCGATGATGAATCAGTCAGTCAGTCAGTCAGTCAGTCAGTCAGTCAGTAACGTTAGAATTTTATATATAACTTAAGGTATTTTCAGACTACAATACTGAGTATTAACACACTTCAAATTAAAAATATTATGAAAATAATTCGCATTTTCAAAAAATCAATCCGAAAAATACATTTTATGTTTACACTATAACATTTGTAATATTTTTTATCCAATTTTCAATTATTTATGCACTTTTCGTTCTTATTTTTAATGTATTTTACACTTTTTGTTTGTTTTTTATTGTATTTATAAAATACATACCGAATACGTTTGAAAATAAAAAGTTTTTGAATTGTTTTAAAAAATTTATGAATACCGACCGTATGCCAAAAAAATCAGTAATATTTTTGAAAATCAAATTACAAATTATATTTAGACTAGTAAATTGTATTATGATACAAATATTCTTGACAAGTATTAATACTCAGTATTGTAGTCTGAAAATACCTTTATAGATATACAAGAATTATTTTTGATTTCACTAACAATTTATTTTGTTACGAATTTTTTTTTTTTTTTTTGTTATTTTCGTAATTTTAAGCGAGTTAAATTAAACGTAATTTTAAATTTTCAGGAAATTAATTTTTTATGTTTTTTTAAAAAACATAAAACATTATTTTTTTTAATTCGCAATCTTTTTTTTAAATTTACAATAATTATTTTAAATGAACTAACATATTTATGTCTTTAAAAAAAATCGTAAAATGAAAAATTTTTTTTCTAAAATTATATAAAATTATTTTGCATTTTACTAAAATATTTCGTACAATTTCGTATAACGAAAGAATTTCGTGGTGCGAAACCACGAAGCATTTCGTACAATGTACAAAATTTTTCGTGTATATTAGGCATGGATTATTTTCAGTGTAACAGTTTTCGAGATATATGAAATGGGGTGCCAAGCCCCACATTGAAAGTCCGCCCATTATTCTCTAAATGTTCACATGAATAGTTTCTCAGATATACGAATTTTTCTATTTAATTCAAGTGGGGCTTCAGGCTTCACAGATGAAAGTCCGCCGCTTTTCCTCCAATATGTTCAGATGAATATTAAAGTAATTTGTGCAAAATTTGAAGAATCTAGTTCTATTAGTTTCCCAGATAAACGAAATTTTGTATTTAATTCATATAGGAGGCGCCAAGTCCCCCATTGAAAGTATTTAAAAACTGATTATGAAAACCAAGACGGAGTTATTACCAATGGCTGCTAGATTCACGCTCATATCCATTTGTTCGTTTGTAAAGGCTATAGATAAGCTATAAGTGATTTTGAAAGCAAGTCTTGTTTCTCTGTATATACTATGAAAACACCATAAATACATTATAGGTATTAATCTTAATTTTTATTTTATACTTTTAATTACTACATTTTCAAATGTAATTACAATTAAATTAATCTTAACGCTAAATAGCTATTTAAATATTAAAACATTTTAAATATACTAAAAGTTAATCAAATCTATAAATTTCTGATGTAAAATTGTTTAAAGAAAAGATGAAGATCAAATTTATTTAAATGATACACCATGGACGTTCTCCAGATGATATTCTAAGTTATGTTGGGCACTAAATATTTGACCACAAATATGACAAGGTTTTCGTGGCTCATTCGTTACAACTTCGAATTGCGAAAAGTTCGCTATAGTTAATGACTTCAATATTACGTCATGTTCTTTTTCCATATGCTTGTTGAGGTGATCCTTTGTAGTAAATGGTTGATCGCAGATAATGCAACTAAATTTTGGAATTGCTGTTGCGGCTGAAGTTGTTTGAGAATTGGTAGGCTGCATATTTGTCGTTTGAAGGTAATCAACTTGATTCTGATTAAATGACTGATGTTGTTCCGACTCAACTTGATACTGATGTTCATGCTGTTGTTGCTGCTGATATTGAAAACCTGTAGGTGCTGCTGTGATTCCGGCCTCTGGGTGAGTTCTCTTATGTACCTTTAACGTGTATTTCTCGGTAAAGGTTTTAAAGCAAAACTCACAACTGTAACGGGGACGATCTGCTCTATGGGTGACCATATGATGGCGGAAAGTTCTTTTCGTCTTGAATATTTGATTACATATTTCGCAACGTAAGGGCTTCTCTTCGGCCTCATGTTGAAGCTTATGGTTGTAGAGGACAGTCGTTTGCGAGAAACATAAACCGCATTTGTCACATTGATACTTTTTCGTATCCAAATGCACTTCCATGTGACGTATAGTGCTGATTTTGGTTGTGAACTCTTTGTTGCAAAATCTGCACTGATTTTCATTTTTACCTTCATGAATATTCATATGTAACATCACATAGTCCTCGTTGCGATGACTAAACGAACAAACATTACAACTGAATTTCTTGTGAGCCTGTACCACATGTCTCTGAAGACGTGCTCTATTTCTAAAGCGCATTGCACATAAATTACATTGGATTTGTTCAGATAATGGGATGGGGCGATGCTGATATTCAGACTGGACCGACTGAATTACGAGCTGTTGATCATTATCTTGCTTTTTTTTGCGGGAACTGTCACCACCGATTACATCAAATATTGTTTCAGATATTTCATGATCACTTACATTTGCATCTTCGAAGAAATTATCATCATTTAATTCAGCCATGCTAGACATTTCTTGAAGGCATTCTTCTTCGATGTCGCTTTCAAAGCTGGTGGCAGCTTTTTCCACCAGCATTGAAAGGTTCCTTTGCTTGCGAGTTACGTTGACTAGGTTGGAGTCATAATCTGCTATTTGAATGTAGCACTTGCGGCACAGCCATTCTCCACTAGACAGATGCAATTCAAATTTACCCAAACGGGCCAAATGCAAAAGGACTGTTCGAATACTTTTCTTGGAGGCCGGGCACTGGGTAACATTTATGCTCTTCTGGAACTTATCACTGGTATTCTTTTTGCGACACAGAAAACATCGATTAAATTCGAGCACTACCCCAGACATGTCTTCTTTTAAATTTCGTTTTTTATTAGAAAATATAATTTTATTTAAAACAACAAATAAAAGTATTGTTTATACATTTGACAGAATAGGATTCTTGTTTTAGTACTATCGAGAGAAATTTAGCAGATTGTATCATTCGCGCAGCTGTCAAAGTATATTTTTTATTAAATGAATCTTAAACAAAAACAACAGGCAGAATTTGACAGAAACGTTTACTTATATTCGTTTACTGTTTGTTATTGTTGTGAAAATGACAGCACCTTGCTAAATGTGCCATGGGAACAGTGTTCTAGTACTATTGTACTAAAACAGGGTTGTATAATTGATAATGGTTGTTTGTACACTGAAAAAAATTATAAGAAATTTATCAAATTAATATTTTTTATTTATTAAACCTACAAATATACAAACATTTTTACTTGGTCGCAATTGGAGTATGACTATCTGATTATGATTTTTTTAATGTTCACAGATTTGAATCGTTTGCATAAGCAAATCTTGTTCGAAAAAAAACATTTTCGACATGTTTTAAATCAAAATAATATGTATGGGAAATCTACAATAATTCAACTAGTTTTAGAAACAAAATTGTTTACAATTATTAGATATACACTTTTAAAAGCGTTTGTAATAATTGTAAAAAGGATAAAAAAATACGGAATTTGTTCGAATATCAAAAACGATTAAGCTCGGTGGAAACAAATTCTGAGCAAAGCAATGGAAATTAATGCAACTTGCCAGAATATTTATCATTTACATGCCAAAATTTTAAAAAACTCTGAAAAAAATTTATATTTTTTGATCTTTCTTTGGTTTTTACAAAAACAGCCATGTTTTTACAGGCATGTTTTTACAGCCATGTTTTTTTTTTTCATTTAAAGATGAACTATACTGAAAATCAGAAAAATCGGTCTACAATTTATTATAGTTCCTGTACAAAATTATGTAATGTAATATGTAATTCGCCGCAATTTCTACACACTTTTCAGTCACATAAATATTATGGTAAATTTAACATTTTAGTCAATCGATTAACAGCGTATTAGGTCTTAAATTGCATAGCATGCTTTAAGGCATTATAAAATTGTATAAATTAAAGAAATGTTAAATTGAAATTATTACCCTATATTCCAGAATTGTTGAGTATTAAGAACAAGTACTGCCACAGAATGGTATTGATGCTGTTAGGTTGCGGTATATAAAACATGTCAAAACAGAAGAAGCTGCTCCTTCATCATCAATACTCGAACGGACGTAGCCCTTATCCAGTAGGCTTAGATAAATATAAATAAGGTATGTGGGCTAAGTATAATCCTGGTAAGAACGTGTATCGACAATCAATTAATTAAAACAACTATAAATTATGTTTTAAAATCTCACCCTGTTCGAAGGATATCGCAAGAAGTTATCCTTCTTAGCATGTAATGTTTAAAATAATATTGTTTTCTTTGGATATAACTATTTACTATAGCTGTGAACTCAAAATCACGCTCTACATTGAAAAAAAATAATAAAAATCTTGGAAAACTATTGTTCAAAAGTATAAAACTGATCTCAAAGTAGCGCCGCGGATCTCATGGAAATACAATAAAAGGGTCGATGATGGGAGATAATTTGTCTGATCAATGTAAAAATTGGCAATATTTCACCAATATGATGAAAATTTGATTATCTACAAAAATTGTAATATCGTTGAATCTCATAGAATGCAAAATATGAGAGATATACGCAAAGCCCAGATTATTGTGACCTTGCTTGTGGTGCAAGAGATTCAGATGTGAAACTGTTTCTGCTTATTCATATATACCATTGAAATACAATTCAATAACATGTATTAGATCGTAATTATGTTAATCATGTTTAATTATCAACTGTTTTTATAAGTTAGAAATTGTGTTTGCTGGGAAGGCACACCAATACCACTACCACCACTATATCAGTGCGTCCGTACATAAAAAAGAACCCAACACAGAACAATTACCGAGTGACTGTGTATTTTTTACAATTTGTGTTTGGTGAGTAGTGAGGTTCGAATAAAAATTACTTTAGAAATCAGTTCTTTTTTGCCCTTCGTGCGGTTCGTGTGTTTTTAGCTGTGTCTCTTTTTATTTAAAGGCTGCCGTTTCGTTGAGTGAATTTAAATATTTTTTATATTTGTTTAATCTAGCTATAAATGTGCAATTTTATTTAAAAAATACAACAAAAAGGCATGAAATAATTACAAAATAAAAATCACCAAAGAATTAAAGAAAAGGAAAATAAAAAACAAAAAAAGGTTCGTTTCAAATTTTAATGGAAAATTATTATAAAACACATATAGTGCATATTTTTGTATCAACATACATAATTACGGACATTAATATACATACATATATATTGACAAATTGTTGATTGAAGCAGTCTGTTAGTCCGACATTGCTATAAGCTGTTGATTCTTAAGAATTGTATGTATGAATGTATGTAATATGTTTTTTCCTTATAAGATTTTGGTGGCTAAAACGATTTTGTTGTTGTTTGTATGTATTAAATTTGGTCATTTGGATTCATCAGGCAGGCAGTCAAATTATTGATGTCTTCGGCATAGTTGTTATGGTAGTAGTAAGTGATGACGAAATTCTTTTTTGTTAAAAAAGAAAATATATTCTATAGTGCGTGAAATAAAAAACTAATCAAAAGTTCGTTAGTATGAAATTAATATTGTAAAACTAAATGTTTATGTCTATAGAAATGTATAAATTATTTTCGAAGTATGTGCATAGGTACTTGATTTAATAACAATATTGACACGTGATTAGATAATAAAAAACACATTGCATGCATTTTTGCAAAATAACAACAAAAAACTATGAAAATTCTCACGCGTAGTAATTACGAATAAGAAAAAATACACACATGGTAATTACAGTTTTAGTTTTTCTCCTTTTCTACATAGAAATTTTGCAAATTATATGCGTTTATTTACCGCTATAATCACAGCTGTTTTCTTTTTATATATTTTGCATATTACGCTATTTTTCTTGCTCGCTCTTTCTCTCAACTTATCACTCCTACTCTCTTTCAGCGTTGTCAACTTTTTAATTTCACAAAAGCACCAAACTCATGAAAATTGTAAAATTTTGTGACACATGTTTTCAAAAAAGCACCATGCACTAACTCAATATTTTTTCGCACAAGAGTCATAATATCCATGGACATGAACATCGGACTATGAGGTTTTTCGAATATGTACTATTGGTAATTCTTGGACTTAATGTCGTAGTAGTAGTCCATTTACAGATATTATTATAACCTTTTACATTATGAGATGCCAGCATTTTAAAAGCACGAATAATAACAGTGTTGAAAGCCCTATGTTGACAATGCTGCTTTCCTTACTCTTTATTTACTCTCAATTTGGGTTTTTGCAAAAGACGCAACATAATAATGAGTTTGTGTAAATCACCCAACAAAATGTTTAAACTTAGTACAAGAGTAAATAAATTAAGTTATTGTTGTTGTACATATTTTATATTGTTCATAAGTATACATAAAAATTTATTTACTTGTAGCTAGGTATGTGTAAACAACTAAATGGGTGTATAAACAAATTGCCGGTTTGATGATACATAATACACCACCAGTTCAGTTATGATGATGATAATATAAAGTAAATACATAATAATAACAATACAAATAAAGTTAAATAAATAAGTGCCCTTAAGCCTTTTTATTTTGAAACTTTTAATATATATTAGAATTGAGAATTGAGTTTCTAAGCAAAATACTTGTTATAGCATTATGTATTTGTTTACTAAATTATATAGTTATTTCCAAATTACTAATTCGTAGTTTAAATTTTTCTAAAATAAAATAGCAAAATTTTGCATAATTCTCATAATGTTTTTTTATTACAAATGTTTTTTATTAATTCTTAGAAAGAAAGGCAACAAAAATTTGAAAATCCTTAAAATCAGGCAAAAATCCTAAAGTATGAAAAAACTATTTTTTAATTATATTTGAGTTCAATTCGTTGACTTTAAAGGTTTAACCAGTATTATACATATCTTTTCCCCTATTTGTGATATGTAACCTAAACTTATCCAAATATAGCGAAAACTTTATTCATAATTTAGAACACGATATCTCTAAAAATCTGATGTGATAAACAAATTCTAACGCAGGAAGGGATACGGAAGGGATACCTCTGTATTGAAAATTTGTTGGCCTGCGGTATTATTTATGCGACTAAAATAAAGAAAAATAAAAAAGGTACCTTTATGCATAACCCCGTGTCTATATTAGACAAATATTTATCACAGAAGAAATATTTGTGGAAAGAATTATTTGTGCATTTCATCAGCAAGAATAATTTAGATTTTAGTTTTTTTATCTTTTCCCAATCTCGGAGATATTTTTACGCAGTATTTTATAAAGGAACCGTACTAAGTATTTATTAATGATATAGAAACTCTGTCATTCATGAGTAAAACCAAAGAATATTTATAACGAGAGTACGCATCTCGACGTTCGGGTTGTTATGATTTACACGTATTCTTTATGTATCACTACCCGCTATTGAAAATTTATCTTGTATGAGACGCACATTCTATGTAACTATTAAATATTCTTTGGTAAAACGCAACTTTGTTTTTTAAAATCTTAATACAAAATTGTTCAAAAACTGATTTTTTGAAAGATGCTAATAAGGTCCGATCATTACAAAAGCCTTTTTGTATAATAAAAATAATTTGTCAATACATTTACTCAAACGCATTCCTCAAGATTTAATTTCAAGAATTAATTTACTTTTGATGTACTTAAATATGGTTGTGGTAACCATAAGAACAACATATTATGGTTAGAATTAGGGTTCAAGTTAAAACATATTATGATCATTATTAGTATCAAAAATATATTATGATCATTATTAATATAATAAGATATCGTATTATGATTAAATATTTTCCGAATATTTCATCATAATATAGTTATCATAATGTGATGTTGTAGCATCATAGTAACCATAGCATCAAGTAACCATATTATGGTTTCATATAATGATTTCAAGTAATCATATTATTGTTTCAAGTAATCACATGACTTCATAACTAAAATATTGATGAAATTCAATAAAAATAACAATTGTTTGGTTATGACAACAAAATATTGTTACAAAAAACATAGAATAGTTGTCCTAACCATGCCGAACCATGTTTTTCTCTGCGTGTAGTTAAATTAGGGAATTACCCTGATTATTATTTTCCTTTTGGATGATTAAATATTGTTTGGATTCAATCTATTATAAATTGAATTAAAACAACCCAGCAAAAATTTGGTAAACACAATTGTAACCACTTAGCTATTAACATAGATATAGAAGCTATAAACGTTATTTTACATGATTTACATCGACTGAATTTTCTAATTACTTGTAACCGATTGAAATAACTAATTGCCTCCAATGACATCATGACTTAAAATGCTATTGTGTAAGTAAATTTTAGCATTTTAACCTCTTACCTGGTAATGATAGTTTTGTTTGGGAAGTAAGAAAGTATAGAAGGTATATATACATGTCCGCCATATGGTATCATGCAAAAGTAATGATTTATTTTTTGATAAAGCATTTATATTGTAGTTTATATTTATTTTCAAATCGGCTTAAGGTACCATTTACTAAAATCATTCAAAGGGAAATTATTAAGATATTTAATTATTTGGGTTTGAATTGGATTCCATTAACGGGATTTCCAAGAAAATATTAGTTCATTTTTAAATACATATAGACAAATTAATAGAACATATTTGTTTTTTCTTAGTCCTTCATGTCTCTTTCTTTTTGTGATCCTATCCCAAAAGTTTATAAGGCCACACCGATATAACCTGACAATCAAGTACTTAAAAGTCGCATGGCTAATAAAAATTATTTTATTTTATTTACTTTTATGTGTCGTCATAACCACAAAATTCTCGGGGGAAATTTTAATAACTCAAAAATTTTTTAACCAATTTTTAGTTTTTCTATTTTTGAAAAGACACATTACGATTTTGCTAAAAAGTGGCACAAAAATTAATACTTAATACCTCATTAAAAAAAAACTGGAAAAAGTGCAATTTTCCCCCATATAAACGCATTTATAAACTTTGGCGGCGATGCGCGGGCTCTTACCCTCAAAATAATTGAATAATATTTTACAACATATTTTCACTATTAGAAGTTGTTCCGAGAGAAAAGCGTATTTTCTATATTTGTATCACTATATAATTTATAATATTTATTTAAATAATTTTGTTAGTATTTTTTATATAGATAGGTAAGTATCTCTCTTAGGTAAAGTATGTTCACAAGTATCTCATATTTGGGGAATAATACGTAGATATTAATTTAAGTATTTTTTTATCTTACATGATTTTCCTAATTGCAAATAATTTCGAACCATATAATAAAGTTATTCCATAGTGATAACTTCAAAACTGTAGCATTTTTTGTATATAAATAAATATACAGTGTTGTTCAAAATCTAAGCAACTTTTATATACATACAGACATTCTTTTCGGTTAATAGAACCGGAACTTTTGTGTGGATGGCCTTCCGAAGGTGCTGCCAAGAAAAGTCATTTAGCTTTCGAACAAAACTGTATGTTTAAACAGTGTATTTGATAAGTGTAAATATACCTTAAATGTTAGCACTCTTCTTAATATTACTTTGAAAAGAAAATACTCCTAAAATTCCAATTTTATACAATTTACACGTTTAAATAAATGTTTGCTTTTCTGTAAAAAAATGACAACTCCAATAATACTGTCATTTATATTATTACTAGCATACAATGGGTGCTTCGCTACCCTAACTTAAATTAAATACATACAAAATTTTGTTTACTTTTATTGAAAATTATTTAAACATTTTTTTAATGTTTCAGTTTTATACGTTCAATATCACGTGATTAAATTCGGATTCAGTAAGAAGCTTGTATTTTTAGTTTTATTCATTTAGCTTCCACATTATATAACATTTCGAAAATACTATTTGAAAAAAAGTACTATAAAATACCTCTAATAGATTATCATTTAATCAAAAATTGTATGTTTCTGTGTTCAATATTATATACAATTCAAAAAATATAATTTTAATGAATGAAAAAGTACCAAAAGTCCCTTTCAGTAGATTCTCATTCACTAAGGTCTATACATTTTAAATTTTATTTTCAATATCTATGTTCAATATCGTAAAAATATCAAAAAGTACCATCGGAAAAACGAAAAAGTACAAAAATCTCTCTCAATAAATTATC